TTGGGTCATCGTGCAATATGCAAACAAAACGATCTAACTCCACATATACTTTTCGTCGTGATTAAACTACGTGTAAAGTTTCTCCAACAAAGAATTAACAGCTGACTAAGACCGTGGTAGGAAACGACGGAGCAAGATCTGATTGTAGCAGACGAACAAAGGCATTCGGTCCTCCGAGAGAGCGAGAGAGAGAGAGAGAGAGAAGGAGAGAATGTCGATTTAAACATTCGTGAAACATTGGAAGAACAAATATCGGATAGCTGGGCGCATGTACTTAAAATAGAATCAACTCACCATCCGTCGAACGTAGAAATAGGTATCCTAGCGGTGTCCGAAATCATACCCTGACAATGACGCTGTGCATCCTTTATCTCTCCGCCCCTTCGTTTCTCGCTCCGTTATGCACGGTAGTCGTCGTTTACGAGAGAAACCCTCTTGGTCACGACGATCACCTCTCGACAAAGAGAAACGGAGCTCGACAGGTTTTAGCACAGTTTTTCGTTACGACGCCCCTTTAAACCTTGCCTTCGTTTTCCCCACGATCGATGACGAGCTTTTCGAATTACAAGGCTGCATTCGTTTCCAAAGGATGCGTTCACCACGATCACGCACGGCACTGCTTCCAGCGGGCAAAGTTGCGTTACGCGTATACGCATAAAGCGAGAAACCAAGTTGAGTCGTGAACCAACTAACCAATTCGGAGTATCAACTGTGACTGACAGCCGAGAGAAAACGATCGGTCGACACAACACCGTTCAGAATCAGCTGTCGGGCTATGCACCACCGTTCGCCTCTACCAACAAAATGAACTGAGCTGTTCGAGTCGAAAGCCAGGGACGTCTGCACCGAACGGAGCCCTCTCCCATTCGCGACTCTCTCGCACTTTGCGCTACCCTTCCATTACCAATGACTCATAGTATTTCTTTCGCTTTATGATCATTCCAATTAGACTAGAGACCGTGTCGAAGTATCTAAACATTGCACCATCGCGCTTTCTTCGACTTTTCAATCTTTCTGAATCGCCTACTTACATTCCAACATTTAGTAGCAGCGTTTCTTTTCCAAAAAGAAACAAACAATTCGTCGAGATTCGTCTATTGATTCGAACGAATCGTTAAAATCTTACGTAAAGATTCGTATCGCGTTTTCCGAGAAGGAAAAATCCGTGACTACGAATTTTTCTAAGTACTACTTGTCGATTAAGTAATGCAATATAATGATAGGAGTGAATCAAACAGACGTGGATGGAACATCTCTTTATAATTCACATGCATCACACACGAGCACCATTCGAAGATTAAATATTATCTTTTTTTTCTCGTCAAACGATTAGCGCGATGAGTCGCGAATCGCACACGACTCCGGTTACAAAAGCTCGGTGCACGCGTCCGAAAGTTTATCTCAAGTTTGAACGATCCTTTCTAATCGGAGCGAAGGGTGTTCCGAGAACGTAACACGTTCCTGCATTTCCTCGCGCGCATGCACAACAATGTACCTCTTGGTCGTCGTTAGGGTTGAAATTCCCATGGACGCTTCCGTAAATTTCGACCTAATCGTATTCCTGTTCCGTGGCGGACGAAAGAGAGAAGGGACACTGACAGACGGAAAAGAGAAAGGAGGGAAAACTCGTTGGAAGGATTGAGAGGTGTAATCGGTGAATAAGGCACAAGGTTCCAGGAGGAAACAGGAAAGAAAAGAGCGGAGGAGAAATGAGTATGAGTTACCACATGCTGTAGGTCGATACTCTAGCACCAACTTGGATGTTCGGTGCAGGCGCACCGACTAACGAGTGCGCCTGCACCGATGAAACACGCTTTGCACGCCACGGGTGCAAAGAGTGAGACAACTAGCAGTACGGGACGATTCTAGACAAGGACTGTCGTACTTGTGAATGAAGATCGAACTTCGCTTCGCTTCTGACGCAAGTATCGTCTCCCTACATTTCCAGGTGTACACGTTGAGTGCCTTTTCAGTGACACTAAGGTGTACGCTGTCACTTATGGAGCATCAGTTCTTATACCAACTTGATAATAGACAAGAAACTGATGGAATTAACAATAAGTTCAAGATGTACTCCGAATCAATTCCAGTATTCAAATTTCATTTTATGGGTATATCATAGAAAAATACGTATTCAAATGAAATCAGATGCAACAGCATGTTTTCCCTCAAACCGTTTTGTGTATTTAGACTGTTTATTGTGCGATTCCGTTGTTTTCGCTGATACCACATTCTGCGAAAAACACGTTGAGCTTCATTTCGTTTTCTGTTTCCTATTTTTTGCGTGATCGAGTGCGAGACATTTTTTTTCCTTTGCAAACGTCTGCAACAATGCAGAACACCTATTTTTCAAGGTATAGAGAAAAGGTAACGGTTTAATGCGAAAAACGCGAAGTATGTTGGTTTCATTGTTAACAGGAAACCATTTCCAAAGCGATCATTCGTCGAGGCGAAAAGTTTTTTGCATTACGTGTCCATAGAATGCCATTGGTGAACTGTCTTTGATTTAAAGAACTCAACTAACATCAGCCCGGGAACTTTATGAATGACAATACGAATGTATAAAGCATATCGATGTTTGTGATTACTCGATAAGAACAGTGTATGTACATAATTCGAAGAAAATTATGCCGGATGTTTCCAAAGTACGACGATTCGACGAATAATCACGCGCACTTAGTATCCTGTACGATTTGCATGCAAAATATTGCTCAAATAAGTAGAACGTTTTTGAAAACACTGGGTTTAGACGAGTAGAGAAAACTATATTAAAAATTAGTTACATATGTAATTCTGTTTGGCTTTGTTGTTGGGGTAGGGTCGAATCTTCGATGAAATCAAACAAAGAAGTGTGCGAAACGATAGATTGCGAAAGACATGAAGTAAACAAATTGCAATAAAATATGTAATAATCAATCGTGATTCTCTTTGTACTATTGTTTATCATCTGTTCGACGATTGCGGTCAAAGTTCGCATCGTATTATCCTACGTCGTCCAAAGTCACGTTTCTCCGATATGCTGCTAAAACCGGAAGCTTTTCTGTTAGCCTCGGTGCACGCGCACCGAACAACATATTCGTGCTGATTCGATAAATAACTTATAAATCGAATTACTAAACGATTTGTCTCGCGTGTATGTACAACGAATATATAACAACCGAGTATGTATCGATCAACGACTACTATCGATTCCATTTTTCTACCCGCATAGGAAACAATTCGCGATCTGACCGAGAGGGGTGTTCTTTCGTTCGAGCCAATTTTTGCGTAACCGATCTGTCTGCGCTTTGGTAATCTATTTCGAGAGAACATGTCTGCTCAGAACTGTCGTTGAAATACCAAACATGCGTGAACTGAATAACGTGGGATAAAAATAACGCGTAAGGCGTCTTTCGGCGAGAAATTGAAATAAACTTTTCGACATTTTTTCGGCGTGAGCTTGAAAGCTACGAGGAAATGTATAGATGAATGATTTCAATGCCAATAGAATTCGGACTTCAACTTGGAATAGCTAAAGTACTCGAATATACAGCGGTAGGATTTCTTCAGATGGTGTAAAACCATCTGAAACCTTTTAGCGACTTATAACACTGATCTCGTGCAATAAGACTTCTTTTTATTTGACCCCTTCAAAGAGTCCTCACGTGCAACACTCTTTCAGCTGTCTTTGTCTCTTTATTTATTAAATTGACTCTTGTATAATCGCTTCTGCAACTTTCGAAGCGGTTGTTTCATCTTCTGAGTCAGATGCGCTCATAAACGGTATGTTCTATATCAGACCACGAAAAACAATCAAGATTTTACATTTGATTATTATCCTAATATTTCGTTTCGTAAAGAGAGATTCCTGAGATAGTTTTTACTCGATTCTACATGATTATCTTTTTCCGTGAAAGTTTTTGCGCGAGCTGGATTATCCGGAGCGAACGACGAACCGCTTTCAGCCAATTCAGTCGATTCTAAGAACGTAAAGTTTATGAGTACCCAAGGAAGAAAGCCTCGAGTCCTCGCATTCCACGTCTTCGATTATGGCTGTATAATCACGTATTTGCTACTTGGTTGCATCTGTGAGTTATTCGGTTTTTGTTCTTCCCTCAATGTTCGGAGTCACGCAAATTTTTTCATCATTTCAGAGGTAATCATCTACCACCGCACCGGCCGAATAAATGTTACAACCGTGCTTACAATTTTCAAATATAGTAATTTTGTACAATCTATTGGATTAAAAAATCTATTTGAGAATCTATATCGCAATTTAATTATTACTATATTGCTTAGATTACACAGCAAGTTGCTCGGTACGAGTGCACTCGTTTCTAAATTGCGAAAGGCGAATATCCCTTTTGAACTGTGTAGATACGTTAGAACAAAGGAATCGGACGACTGAAAATGATTTCATCTGAAATCGCTTATAGATATGCAATACCCACGAGTTTGCTAGATTTGAATAATATTTAAGTCGATAAACGATGAATAACTAACGGTTAAGTAAAAATAATGTTTGTATTATGAAATTCTGGTTTCAATTTCTTCTAAGAACATTTTATTCACGATTTACGAACATCTGTATTTAATCGCAACGATATTTATCGTAAAAAAATCAATTTTACTGACGTAAATTATCGTTTTAACGATAATTAAAAGCAGCAAATACACATAGTTGCTCTTTTTTTTAAATACGGGATGAAAATAAACAGTTATATGCGACTACTGCGATAATACTTCTGTGACTAACTACCGGTTGAACTGTGGACCATGCGACTAATGTTACTAAGCACCATAAGTAAAAAGTAAGTATTCTGAACAGACAGACATTCCTTCGAATGAAACTATACATTTGCACTACCATGCATTAAAGATAGTCACTTTACAGGTGTTTTCAAGGTAATCTAGAGTTATTATCAAGCATGGAATTGCTTTGTGGAAGTTGCCGTACAAAGTTCTTTATCTTTCAATACGTTTCAGGTGTAGGATACGTATACATCGGATAGCTTGTATTTTCAAAATTCGTTTCATATAGGTGACATTTAACTTGTTGCCGACTTCGTGTCTTTGGTATGAGGGCACAGTATTGAAATGAATGAACAAACGAAAGAGGGAAAGAGTAAGGTTCGTGACAGAGGTCGCGATTAAACGCTTACTCATACGTAGTATGTTCACGAGTTTAATATTTGTCGAACAAAGTTTATGTATGTATGTACGTTGAAAATTTGCAATCTACAACGAATCGTTTGTACAAATACGAAATGTTTTACGATTTTCGAGATTCGAAGGTATTTGAAAACCAAAAGAAAAATATTTGTTTTGTTTACTGCGATCAAAATAGTACCAGAGGGAGACAGCTATACTCGTAAGCAGCAGCACGCAGATACATGATTGCACAAGTGAGTGAAGACATTAAAATAGAGAGAGAAAGAAAGAAAGAACGAAGGTAAACTTGTACAAGACAGTAGAAGGGATGCAACGAAATCGGTCGTGATTCAATCGGAGCACTGACTTACACAAAAATATATTCGAAATGTTTGAACCTACGGAACAGGGAAAGGTGAGAATCATTTATAAGTAAATGACATTGGTGCAAGTACGATTATTCTTCTTGTAATGTTTTCTACGCCGAATGTGATGCCCTGTCAATTTTGAGAATGATGTAAACATTGAACCACATGCATTTCCTAGGGTATGTCAACACGACTTGACAAGTTTCCTGCAGATACGTAAATCCCTAAACGTCATTCACTGTTGTCTTGTAATGATCTATACGTTGTTGTTATCATGTATTTCAATAAACTGATTGTACCTGAGATGTCTAATAAGATTGTTAGTGAGGTTATGCGCTTGTCATTACTATTATAACTTTGTATTCAAGCTTCTTTCCAGTTTGGTCTTATAACTTATCAATGCTGTTAATGTTATATTTTATATAAACATTATATTTTCACTTGAATATCATATGCATTATGTGATTTTATTTATCTTATTTCATATCAACTAGGATCTATGCATTCACACTGGAGTGGTATTGCGAGGTGCAAATACAAGGGAAGATGAAGTTCACAGTCTAGGCACATTAAACATTGTTGAATATGTAAGCAGACTCAATAAAAGCATGACATCATTGTATATCAATACGCATAATGTTATCTTTTAAAATTACAGAGTTTTGGCAAGTGTATAGAATGGAAACCTATTGAAGATTCTGTAGTATCAGAAAATCAAGATCAAGATCCTGAATGGTCTTTAGTAGACACACATACCAGGCGTACTCGTACTTCCTCAGAAGGACCAGATTCCCTTGGTCGTACAAGAATTGTTAGAATTTTATTCTCAGAATTAAGCTCATTTCGTGTAAATCATGGAGGGCAACAGCTTATATTTATGCAAAAGGATGGAACCACCTATGTTGCCTTTTTTCAGTTATCTAATGCTGAAAGTTTTGTAAATTCTTTGAAGGGTTTTATTAAATTTGTAAAGTCTCGTGCAAACAGAAATTTGTATATTATAGTAGATGAAGTTCAATCTGTATTAAGTAAATCGTTCGCTGAATTAGATTTATTTCAAGAAAATACTTCAGATTATGTTTGGAAATTTGTAAAAAATTTGCATAACCGTCCGTATGAAACAACATTAGAAGCATTTAGTAAACTGGCAGATATTTGGTGTAAGTGTATAGAAGAATCTGGAGATAAAACTAATACAATCCATTCGATATTCAATAGTTAACCAAATGTTTTGCAAACCCGAAATTATAGTATACAAAGAACCAGCTAAACGTCCGGTTGAAGAAGCAGTTGCAGATTTATTAAATAGTTCACTTACGATCGATGTTCGTCATCCTCCGGTATCGGTCGGTTCTGGGGAGGAATATGAAGTAATAGGATTGGGTGTAGTATTACCACCGCGACCGCCTTGTCCAAGAGGTACAATGGATATAGCTTTGTACCAAATTATTTTGTGTAAGGTGTATAAATATGATTATGTATATGATTATGCTAGGTACCCCGCTATCACAAGAACAGTGGAACAAATATAAGGATCCAGAGGGAAGAATTTTAAATCCTCAAGAAGTAAAAGAAGTTATATTTCGTGGGGTATGCATAGAACTTCATAAATGAATGCTTCATAGAGAAATTGTAAAATAAACGATCCATAAAACGTTTCAGGGTGTCGCCCCATCGTTACGTTTTGAGGTATGGAAATTTTTACTAAATTATTATCCATGGGAGTCTACACAAATTGAAAGATTAGAACTTAAAAAAAAGAAGACTGATGAATATTTCATGATGAAGCTACAATGGAGATCTATGACTGCTACGCAAGAGAATAATTTCTCCGATTACCGAGATCGAAAAAGTTTAATTGGTAACATATGAAAATATTGAGGTGGAGTTGTTCATGTAGAAAACAAAGCTGTAATACGTTATAAAACTTTCAGAGAAAGATGTGAACAGAACGGATAGAACACACCCGTATTATTTGGGTGATAATAATCCACATTTAGCACAATTGTATGATATCCTCATGACATACGTAATGTACAATTTCGATTTGGGATACGTTCAAGGTATGAGCGATCTTCTTAGTCCTATATTATGTTTAATGGAAAGCGAAGTTGATGCATTTTGGTGTTTTGTTGGGTTTATGGATAAAGTGGTAAGTTTCTACAGGAAAAAATTTTTTGGTATAGTAATCGATAAAATATGTATCAACAATCGTTATGTACAAAATAGAGTACCAATTTCGAAATGGATCAAGCCGGAATGAAAGCCCAATTATGCCAATTGTACAATCTCTTGAGTACTACGGATCCACAGTTAGCACATTATTTAAATAGACACGAATCTGGAAATATGTTCTTTTGCTTCCGTTGGCTTTTAGTATTGTTTAAAAGAGAATTCAACGCAGTCGATATAATGAAATTGTGGGAAATATTATGGACGGATTTACCATGTAAAAATTTCCATCTGCTTTTATGCGCAGCCATTTTAGATACAGAAAGAAATATTCTCATGGAAAACCGTTATGGATTTACAGAGATATTGAAGGTAAGTATAGTGCACCGATGACAAGATGTCCCATGAGACAAATGCAAATGCGGGCTTCTCATGGGACATCTTGTCATCGGTGCACAGTATGTACATAAAATTGTGCAATTAGAAAGTAGTTTTTCTTTAATTAACACACATTATGCATTACATACAGCACATAAATGATCTTTCCCTCCATATTGAGTTACCTTGGACATTATCCAAAGCAGAGGGTATTTATCATCAGTTAATGGCTGTAGCGGACCAGTTACCCGATAACGTTCGCGTAATAATTGGATTAGAACTGTTAAATAAAACGTTGGTAGCTAATGAAGCAGAAAATGGTGAAGCTTCCGGACAAGACACTGAAGAAGCTGGTGGAGTGAAGGCTAATTCAAGAAGAAATAGTACGGAAAGTGGTAATGTTAAATTTGGAAATAACGAAGTGTCGTTTGAACGGGGGTTAAATTTATCGTACATGTGAGACCAGGACCGATCGTTCATCATAATTTGAAGAACGCGTTGTGTATCGCAGTCAATCCTGAAAAATTTATACTTTTAAAGAATGATATTTACAATTCTGTTTTTAGGAAGAATATATGTATTGTTTGTCGAAATAATGAAATCATGTCTTTTTGGTTTGTAACGAATTGTATCGTTGAACAAAATGAATGAGTTGTATAAAATGTACGAAAGGTATTATTTCTATAGAACGCGTCGATCGCTGAATTAAAAATTTTGCTTCATAATTGTCAAATTTACAAAGTTACAGCAAAAATTTGTTAGTAGCGTTGAATTTTGAGATATTTATGAAATTTATTGTAATTACAAAGAGATTATAAACCGCGCGCATATTTAGTAAGTAAGAAGTAGTTTCATACAGATCTGTATGTTCTTTGTCTTAACGATACTTTTAATGCACATCAATTCGAAACGATATGCAAAACTTATTCACAGCGTATTTTGACTTCAACTGGTGTTTATGCTGGTGTTATTTTCACTTAAGTTCGAATGTCTTTTTCCAGATTTGTATAAAAGTCTCACAATAGTACTGTATATTTCTAATAAAAATTACCTGTTTAATCTTTGATATACATAATTCTTTCAGATATATCGTTTACCAATTGAAAGACAAAGAAATATCCCGTTTCACATACGCGGTTTTGGATTCGAGTGATCCAGTTGCTGGATTATTGGTTTATGTTTACAAGATTTTACGTTTGATGTCTCATCAGTCGGGGTTTCATGTAGGAAGACAAAAACTGCAAACAATGGTGTTCGTTCAAATGTAAACTATTTTTGTTTTGTTAAACGAATTAATAATAAGGTATGGAATTCGTTGCCATAAAACGTAACAGAGGTCGGAAAAGGAGAAGATATCTGGAGAAACGACGTCGTGAACAAATTAAATTTGAGGTTAAGACTGCGAAACATACTAATATTTTCATCGCTAAAAAAAAATTTATTACTAATACTATGCATGCTAATTCATTTTGGGAAAACTATACAGCCGCTCAAGAGTGGCAAAGAAGGTTAGTTAAACTGTTGTTTTTGTAAGATTTGAATTGAAGTCAATTCGACAGGTTATAATAATAGTAATATGTATTAATTGTAAAAATATTTCAATGAACAATACTGTTTCTAGACATAGTGTAACGTGGTGGAAAACTCGTTGTACTGCATTAGAACATGAGAATGAAGTGTTAAGGGATAAATTAAGATCATTAGGATGTGAAAATACCCAGCAGCATTCTTTGCATCCACAAAAAAACCAGGATGCAGCTGAAGAACAGTACGGTGCAACATCCACAGAAGAAAATGAAAATTTAGAATTTCATGTAGATGAAGATATGATGAATTTTTTAGAGCAAAGTATGAGACATAAAATAGAATTGCAGAAGAAAAGAGAATCTGAGTCGTGTGTTGAAAATAAATTAGAGGATATGGATGAGTATATTCAGGGAGGTGCTGCTTGGATACAGGCAAGAAACCAGAATGCAAAATTGTTGTATGGAGAAGCAAGCCCTACCATATTGGCAATGGAAACTGCTCTTCAGACTACTGTGGATAGGCATAAAGATAAAGCAAAACCTCAGTATTGGCCCATTATTCCTTTAAAACCATAAATTCTAAGACAATACGTTATTCTGAATTTTAAATATGTATTTTATACAAAAAATATAAAAATTTCTTTTATATTACTCGTCTTTCCCAACGCTTATCCAAGGATGGTATTATTCTTGTTCTCACTGGTAACGGAAGATGACGTTGCACGCTCGCTTCGTCTTTAGTGCGCGGTTGCAGTTTTGGAGAAACGTCAACCTTTCTTTGCGTGTACACTAAATAGGTAACTGATAAACATAAAAACTATTTATTCTTGTCAATTTTTAGAATATTTTTCAAACTTAATAATGATTAACTAGAATTATCCATAAAAGTCAACAGAACGGAAATAGGAGTCTCGCGTGAGCACGCTAGAGGCAATATCAAGGTGTTCCCCTCATCCAGCCTTGTACCTGCGAGCCAGTCATAAATGACACCTCTGTTATGAAATATATCGGGGAAGCAATTAATAGGTAATCTCAACGATTGAGCAATTATGTTCACATATTATTATTACTATTATTATCGCTATCAGAAACAATCGATCGGTAACGGCAATATCGAAGATCGCTATTGCTTTGCAATCTTTATGTAAATAGGTAGTTAGAATAGGGTATAACTTCATGATAACTTCATTGAATCTCAATAAACGAGTTTCTCAGATATCGTGGATTTGCTTCGATAAAGAGTGGCAGCGGGAAAGATGTTTCGAAGAGACACAAGTTAAGGACGATCGGTGTCGTTGTGTATCGAAGATAGATTAGAAAAAGACGTACGAAAGAGTTCGGTCAGTCTGTCAATACGTTATCTCACGGTCGATCCGCTGACACGGTCCATGGAATTCTGGGACCAGTTCGAGAGGTTCCAACATCGATATTTCGGTCCAGAGAAAGCCCCTAATTATCGAGATAACGCGTGTCGCGGTGTCGATACTGGTTACGTATCGGATCCCCACCTTTTTTTCCTACACTCCCACGGGATTTTTGGATGATTTGTTGCCGCTGAAGGTACTTTGAATTCTTCCCATCCAGATACATGTTAAAGAAAAATTTATCGACCCGTCTATATACCATTTACTTTGCATTTAATTTCTTTCATAAATCAGGTCAAGGAAACTCGTTACATTGAAATTTTAAACGTACTTGTAACTTTTTTTACGATTCGTGTTCATTTTGTTTAGAAAAATTTTCAAATCTATCGATCTATAGATAAATCTTTTTTTCGATTCGAAACAAACCGGTCGTTCCTACGCAAAGTAAGATCAGTACAGACAACAGACGTTTTATATCCACCAACAACTTTCATTTAGATCTTTATCGATCAACTTTCACGGTGTACTCGCATATTGCTCTTTATTACTTGCCTTTCGGTCCCGATGTTTTCCCGTGAACGCAATTAACCGAGATTTTTTCTCACTCTCTTTCTTTTCAATTCATCTAACTGAAATGGAAGATCGTTTTAGAGGTTTGTTAATAAATTTTCCGCGATAGCATTTCCGCGTATCTTCCGACACGTAAATTGAAACTACATAACGAGGTGTCTGGGCCCGTCATTTGATCGAAATAAAGTTCACCCGTGTGTAGAGTCGTCAGAGCGGTGAATTTAACTGGTTTCTCTTGAAATTCTCCATGGTTCGTCCCGCGTTTCGTAATAACGCGCGGTTAATACGCAAAAACAACGAAAATTTGTCTTCCCTTTTTCACCGGCAATTTCGAATGTTCGCCTGTGATCGTGCTCCAGAATCGTTCTCCGGATGCGACCTCATTGGAACGTTTTAAGATCTACCTTTCGTGCAACCGCGTCAAGATAGCGCTGGAGGGAGTTGAAAAGAAAGGTGGGAAGAGAAGGGGTTTACTTTTTATCGGGTCCGTGTCATTAGCGGCCGCAACGAGTACTATAAGTTCGTATCAAGGACTCAGAAGTCGAAGAGATCTTCGGGACCAGTGACGACGATGACGATGACGAGGACGAGGACGAGGACGAGGACGAAAGATATTAAAGTACCTACCACCGTTCGCCTTATTAGGCCTCATCCTCTCTTTCCCTCCGTCCTTTTTACCCCTCTCGGTCCCGATCCTTCTGCTCTTAAAATCATGGCTGCACGTAACCGTCTACTGATTATATGGATTCGGCGATGATTTCTGATGATGCCCCCGACCCCCGAAATGGTAAAATAATACAGTGTCGTCTCCTAGCCTGGACCCTTTCGGGTCCCGTGGGCCGGTTCGTTAGCGGGGCCTTGGCGCGAGGCACCCTGTCATTATGCGGCTGGTCTCCATCACCCCCACCAGTTCCCAATTTTCAGTGCCCCTCTACTACGCCTCGACGAAATCTCTTATATATACCTTGCTTTCTTCCCTTTTTGCCTTCTCTTTTCTCCCCCTTTCTTTTCTTTTTTCACCGCTCTATTATATTCTACAGTTCATACGGTTCCCTACAGTTAACGGAATGAACAGAGATAGAAACATTGTTGTTAGATCGAGCTTATCTAGGAAGAAAAATGTTCAGATAAGTTGTTCAGAGGTTTTGTCTCTCCCTAAAATTTACACACCCAAATTGAGTATCGTTCATGATTAAACGTCTTGCGTATCGCGGGGCTTAGGAAGGAGAACGGAAGTTGATGATGGTCGCGTAACGAAATTATCTATCAAGTTCTCCATTGCGCGTCTCGAAATCACGTTTTTTACGAAACTCGAGCGCGAAACTCTAGAGCCGCTCACGACTACTGCGGACATTCGAAACTCGTAACTCGATCGCGCTTGGTCTGGCTGGGGTACCATCGTTGCTTTTCTGCTCGTAAGAAACGTAGTTACTTCTTCTTTGTCTACTTCTTCTTCTTCTCCTTCGCCTCATCCCTTACTCGCGAGACGAATTTTTTCAGCGAACAGGAGCAATTCTTTTTCCCATTGTGTTGTCACAAGGGAAGAGGGTGTACGTTACGAAAAGGTTTAAATGAATACTAGCTGTCTTTGAATTGCACTTGGCCATTCGAACTTCTGCCAAGAGTTGCCTAGATCTTTTTTTTTTCTTTTGCTGTTTCTTATATACCTATTAAATCTTTTTTTAAATTCGATTCGATTCGATCGAAGTACGTTTACTGGTTTTATCATTGTTCCGCGGTAAAGGGTGGTTTCGTGGTAACGATGGAAAGACACGTTGGAGCGCAGAATTCTTTCTTTTCGAAAAAGTTTGTGATATTTCATGTTTGAACGACTCGTCCTTGGAAGCAAGTTGAGAGGGTGTAGGTGGTCCTCGCGACTGGCAATCATTTCGCTTAATGATGAGAACTTTTGTCGGTCCTTTCCTCTCCTAAACCTCGGATTATCGAGTCGTGCTCTTTCCTCGTATCCACACAGACCACTCTGCTTCTTTTCACTTCTTCTTCTCTATCTCCTCTTCCTTCTTCTACCTTTATTTCCGAGCTCTGTAATTTTCCCCTAGCGGCCATGCCACCATGCCGTGCCGAAATTGGTGTACGCCGACAAGATTTCGTAGAAATCCCCGACGTTCCTTAATGGGAAGCCGTCTCTGAACGGTGACAATGGCACTTCTGTTGCGGCGCTTCTCTCTTTCTCTTGAAACGGGTACAAAACATTAAAAAAAAAAAAAAAAGAGGAAGAAGAGTATCGATGCAATGAGAGGAGCTGGAAAAGAGGGAGGAGGCGAAAGAAGAAGGAAGAATCGCGAGAGTCGAAGAGAATTAGGAGGACAATCGCGAAGGAAATAAGGTCGAGAAAAAAATGTTGACTATAAAGAAGAGGGAGGAGGAAGAGGAGGAGGAGGAGAAGAAGAAGAAGAAGAAGAAGAGTCTGTCGTCGATATCTTGCTTTCGGCCCGGCACAGATCAACGCGAGGCATGCGATTCGGAGTCGAGAACGACTCGAGACAACGTACGCGATTCTTCGAACAAAAGCGATCGAAAGACGCAAATTTATTCCGCTTTTATCTTGCGAGCATACTTTTGTGCATCGCGCGGCATCGTCGAGAATGACGAATTGTAACGGACGATGACTACGAGAAATTTGGTCTTCTAGAGAATCTATTACGTTAGTGTTTATACAACTTTCAATGACGTACTATTGCGTTGCCACAATTATTTTCAAAGAGTCGAGTTTCTTTGGTCGGGGTGAACGCGTTACGCGATTCGTGGTCGGAACTGTTTCCGGCACCCGGTATCCAGCACCTGCGAAAGATCGGACCGTGTAGCCGATGCCTGAGCAAACAATACGAACGATGATGCACCGTCTCGAGCGCATTGTCCGTAGCGAGTGGTAGTAGGCGGCGGATTTATCTGCCTACTCGTAGAGTCAGGTAGAGGAGTCCAAGGGTCCTCGACCCAGGAGGAGACGCGTCGCGCGAGCCGACGGAACCGATGGATCTCTTCCTTTCGTTTTGGCGCGATTTCGCCGCGATCCCGTTGATCGTCACCGATCTATCTCTCCGTCCATAGACTGCTAATTATTTCAATACATCACGAGCAATGGAATCGCAGAAGACGCCTGTGCGCGCGATATCGATGGCGAAGGCGGCTGCGCACTAATCTGAATTCTTGGCGCATATGAAATTCCAGCGCGTGCCGGTAAAAGAAGAATTCGTTAATTTGTTCGTTTTTCATCTTTTTTTTTTTTTTTGAGGGGCAGGGCCACGCTTTTAGATTCTTGGTCTCGCCCGTCGCATCATGAGTCATCGGTGATGCACAGAATTATTAACCAAAGAATTTATCACTTACGCTGTACCTGCGCGGCGACGGTAAATCATCGGTGATCTATGCGCGCACCGTTGCGAAATATATTATCGAAGCACGCAATTATTCTGAAAAGCAGAGTTCGAGACGCTGTATCGTCGCGAGGTATCTCATGCATCATGCAACTAACATCGGCCTCATGCCCTCCCAGGGGATGTGTTAACAGATCGTCAAAATTAATGTGCCGCTTCCTGTTAACATGCAAATTTCTCCGACCTTTAAATGCGATCTACTCGGCGAAACTCGGTCCAGCGAAACTGTGTTTACAGGACACGTCGCGATTCGTATGAACGGGAAAGCACTCTCGTCAACAAATTTCAACGAATTCGGCGCAAGAAAGGAAAAATTGCATTCAGCGTGCAAACAATGTGGAATCTTTCTCTCGTCGCGTCACGAAATTCCAGGACCTTTGGCACGGGCGTAGAAGATGCTCGTAGGGCTGAGCGCGGAATGAGCGCCGATGGTAAGTCGGTTCTTCGCATACCGGGCGCTCAGGTAGGTAGGAAGGCGGCGAACGAGCTAAATGAAGAAAGAAAGGAAGAAAGAAAGAAAGAAAGAAAGAAAGAAAGAAAGAAAGAAAGAAAGAAAGAAAGCAGGGACCTACGACGGGAAGAGCGAGAGTGAGAAAGGGCGAGGAAGAAGAGGAGGGATGAAGAGAAGCGTAGAAGGAGGCCGAAGCAGGCAAGGAAGGAAGCGGTGGAGCGAGCGAGCAAACAAGCAGAGAGTTTGGTATAGTCTAGCTGCTCGATGCCGCTCGGTGCGCTGAATGCTGAGGCCCCGGCATATCGGGCCCCTGTACTACCGCTCCCCTCTCCAAGATGGCCGCCGTTCGGGTCCAGCCGGGTCCCCCTGACCGAGCCAGGCCGAGTCCAGCGAGTCAGGGGAAGGGTAGGCCTTGCAGGTGCCGCCATGTCAGTGCATGCCTAACCTCGAAGCCGCGCGGAACGGACGCTGGGCCCAACAACGCGACACCTCGTGCTACATCTTTGCTTCTCGCTGCAACTCTTTTTTTCTGGGCCGAGAGTAGGCTACGGTCGATTGTAAACGGGCCGGGAACACAAGCAACCTTCCGCACGATCGCGTTAATCGGTGTCTCAGCGAATACGGAGTGCTCCGGACGATCGAAGCGAACAGCGAATCGCGAGAAAAGGTGTAGTAACCGAGCAACAAACAGGAGATTGCTCGCGACTCGGAGCAAACCTACGTCCTACGAGATAAGCGAGAAAACTTGTCGTCAGGTATACGCGTTTCTGTGCGGTTCTTCGACGAGGTCAGGCGAGCCGGTTGATCGTCGCGCATCATTTTTTTCATCTCGTGTCTCGCGTGTGTCGCGCGTGACAGTTTCGGAGCACGGGTGACTACTAGGCGAACGGGAACGCTGCAGCTCTTTCTCTCTGTTGACGCGAATAATACGCTCGAACGCAAGGTAAACTCGACTGCAACTGGTCCAGCCTGCTTGTTCACTTCCGAGAGGATCGATCGACGATCCAAGACGAGTGGAGGGGATCTCCGATAAAACATGAGAAAAGGAAGCGCACAGTGGACAGCGTGAATTACGAAGGAAAGTAGAGGGTAGATTTTTGGAGCAAGAACCCGGAGAGCCGAGAGATGAAGGGCGTTCGAAACGCGAGGCGATCGCGGCGGGTTCGCGACCGGTCGTGTTGATCGTCTAGTTATCGGAGGCGAATCTAACGCGAGGAATGTACGATATCTCGAGGCGAAGATATTCCAGCAACGGAGAGGACAGTGAATAGGGCGGCGTGTTGGCAAGAGAAAGAGGGAGAGAAGGAGAGAAACAGGACAAGCACGTACGCGTAGGTAAAAGGAAAGGGAAGGAAAGGAGAGGATAAAACGAAGGGAATAAGGAAGAGACCGAAGAAGGAAAGGAAGAGGGAGAACGGAGAACGGAGAACGGCGTGGAACGGTGTGTCGAGTTGGTTCACGAGTCCACCACAGGAATTTCCACGAGTTGTCGAGGCTCTCCGTAAACTGGCGTGTTTGGTAAACTAGCTCAGCTCGGTCACACCGCTAAGAAGGACGAACGTAGCGTCGTGCGTGGCGCGAGTGATCGCGAGAGGAGAAACGAACGGATCGTACGTGATTGTGCTTGGTGCTGGTGCTGCTAGTGGGTGATAAATGTGCCGGTTGATCGCGTACACGCGCTCCCTTCCGTCGGGATTATAACGGACGTCGGTTCGATTGAAACGCGTACACGTACGATTCGTATTTGAGAAAATAGAAAAAAGAAGAGATTGTCAGGTCTATCACCGTTTAAGGACGAATGACGAGCTTTTGGAGAAACGATGATCTGACAATCGCACGTTCGACGATGGAAAGATCGAGATAATAGCGCAAGACCGGGAAGGCGGAGGAGGGCGGCGGTGGCGGAGGCTCCAGGATGCGGCACCTGCTACTGTTCCTCGTCCTGGGAGCGAGCCTCGCCCCGGGCACGTGGTCCGAGCTGGTGAGATACTTGGAAGTGTCGGAGAACGCGCGGCCAGGCACCAGGGTAGGTTTCATCGACGCGGACAGTCCACCCTATTTGATCGTGTCGGTTTCCGGCTCCGCGGTCGAGTCGGACTTGACGGTGGATTACGCTACGGGGGAGATAAAAACGAAAGTGCCGTTGGATCGCGAGACAAGGCCGTCTTACAGTTTGGTCGCTTTGCCGCAAAACATTCAGGTGGTGGTGAAGGTATTGGACGAGAACGACAACGCGCCAACATTTCCGGTGGATCACGTGGACGTGGAATTCCCGGAAAATTCGCCTCGCGACGCGAAGCGTGCTCTACCACCCGCCAAGGACCCCGATCTCGGCCAATACTCGACGCAACGCTACGAGATCGTGTCCGGTAATCACGGCGACGCGTTTCGATTGTCCCAACACCGAGGTAGAGACGGTGTTCTCTATTTGGATCTGCAAAATTCTGGCTCGTTGGACCGCGAGGCTCGATCCGAGTATCATTTGGTGATAGAAGCGCTGGACGGTGGAGCGCCGCCGCTACGTTCGCGGCTGCGCGTCAACGTGACGGTACAAGACGTAAACGACAATCCGCCGATCTTCAACCAGACCAGATACGTTGCCAGCGTGCCGGAAAACGCGACCGTCGGCACGCCGGTGCTCGCGGTGAACGCGACCGATAGCGACGCGGGCGACAACGGACGTATCGAGTATTCGATCAATCGTCGGCAATCGGACCGAGAGGAGATGTTTCGCATCGATCCGGAGACCGGTATGGTATACGTGAACAAGGCGTTGGACTTTGAATCGAAAGAACGACACGAATTGGTGATAGTGGCGCGGGATCGTGGCGCGCAACCGCTCGAAGCAAGCGCGTTCCTCTCGGTACGCGTGACGGACGTGAACGACAATCAGCCAGCGATCACTGTGATCTTTCTGTCGGACGACGCGACGCCCAAGATCAGCGAGAGCGCCCAACCGGGCGAGTTCGTCGCCAGGATATCCGTCAGCGATCCAGACTCGAGGACCGAGTATTCGAACGCCACGGTCACTTTGACCGGCGGCGATGGACATTTCGGCCTGGCTACCAGAGACAACATCATCTACCTGGTGGTGGTCGAGAGGCCACTCGATCGCGAGGAAAAACCCGTCTACGATTTGTCCGTGGAGGCGACCGATGCCGGTACACCTCCGCTCAGAGCTGTTCGTACTTTTCGTCTACTGGTGACGGACGTAAACGACAACGCGCCGAAATTCGTTCAGGATAGATACGAGGCTCATCTGTTGGAAGCATCGGAGCCTGGTACACCCGTGTTGAAAGTGACCGCCACGGATCTCGACGAGGGCGCCAATTCCGCCATCAAGTATTCTCTTTTCAACACCACGTGGTTCGCGATCGACGAAACCTCCGGGCTGATAAGCACGATCGCGCACGTGGACTGTGAAGCCGATCCAGCGCCGATTCTAGTGGTTGTCGCGACCGATTCCGGCCGTCCGCCTTTGAGCAGCAGCGCGACAGTGCGAGTCACCGTTCACGATCTCAACGACAACGAGCCTATCTTCGAGAAGCCGCTGTACAACGCCACCGTTCCGGAGGATATGCCTGTCGGACGCTGCTTCCTCAAGGTAAGAGATCTCTTTGCTTTTTACTTATAGGTACATTTGTATGCATGAAAAGATCAACGCGTACGCTATCGTTTATAAACATCTCGACGTTTTCTTATTCTTTTATCGTAGATCGAAGATGAAGCAGTAGTTTTATAAACGATTTATTTATTTATTTAACTACGTTCAATTTGTAAGTGATTCGTTTGGTAACGGGAAGGTGACAAAGTATATAAAATGAAAAAAGAAATAAATAAGCAAAGTAACTGATAGATCGTCGCGATTAACTCAACGCGTAGACGATTCGAGCAAATGATAGGAAGGTAGAAAGAGAATTGATTTCATGTAGTAATTTACATCGATTAGTGGACGTTTATGTTGCTTCAATCTTATCACGTCTCCAGATGTTTATGTACGGTAGTGTGTTACATACGAATAAACGTTATTGTGCTTTCTCCGTACTTATTAGAAATACTTGCGCGCAGAGAGATCGCTAAACGCCAATATGGCAAAGGGGGTTAACTTGTGACTTTCAGACTTGAAAGTACTTGATTGTCTTATTATCACATTATGCAATTCTTATTTTAAAATAACCGTACTCGTTCTCGTACTATAATATTTATTACAACTGTTCCTCTCCGCTGCACTTTGTCATTGTAACAGGCATAGAAAGGGTTAAAGTATTATACAATCGTATTTGACACGGCAAACGAAACGGTTGTGTAATCTTCAGCTTACGCGAGTTTTCTCGCTTGAAAACGCCTCGATCTCTCGAGATTGACGTTCGTCGATGCACGACGGCCGAGCGTTCCTAATTGATCTGTCATCGAAACCGATTACTGACATCCTCCTTCTTCAAAGAGATACGTCGCGAATTAATCGCGCGAACCTCGCGTCGCGCTGCCGCGAGAACGACACCGCTTTCGATGCTAGCAGATAGAAGAGCTGGTGTTGTTTGACCCTTGCGCCAGACGGCTCAGCATTTTGCGTAAAGCCGTTTCTCGACGAACGTTTGTTAAAGGTTTTCCCGTAAAAGCAACCAGCCAGTCAGTCGAAAGGGCAGCGGTGCTTGCCGCGAGCCACGTAGCCGCGTTACGCTGGGAAACTCGTAATTGGTACCGTCGCTCACGAGACTCGTTTTCTCCGACGCGGCATCTGGCAATTAGTATACTCTTGCTTCTAACGCGAATATTCGCGAGAAGAGCGTCATTGCAGTCTGACATAAATCAGTTTATTATTATAGTATGCGCTCCGTTCGCCACTGTGCGGTATCAAAGGATACGGGATAGATCGTTTCTTAATTGCTTGATCAAATGAAATATGGAATAAAGGACATTATTGATTCGAAAAGCTGTGGCAGGGTTGCGTATCACTCGGCCAGGGAACCTCTTCCCCGAAGCGGCTCTAGAACGAAAACGTGTTGCTTTACGAGGTTCGCGATCGGTGTACAGCTTTGCGCCAGTACGCGTACTTGCCGATCCTTGGACGCGTAACATCCAGCAAATCGATTCGAGAGACCGGGTATTCTCGAGGCGCGAACGCGTCGCGCGTTCCTGAAATTCGACACGCGTTCGAGCGAAGGGGATTACAGGGTAAGCGGTACACCTTTGCTATCCCTTTTTAAGAACGATCGTCTTACGCTTTGCGTAATCATCGTTGCACACGAGAACGAAGTCGTTACCGGTACCGTGAGTCACTTCGATAAGGGGTAGGTTGGTACCAATCTGAACGAAATAGTGAGATAGAGAGAGAGAGAGAGAGAGAGAGATAGGAAGATCGCGAGGTAGTCGTTGCCAGTGTGACGAAGCGTCTGTCATTCATAACGTCCGTGATCCGTGGACCGTGGATTCGAGAGGAAGAAGAGAGGAAGAGAGGAGAGAATGCGAGCGATGGTGAAGGAAAAGGGAGCGAAGGTAGAGAAAGAAAGAAAAGGGTGCTCAGGGTAGAAAAAGAGAAGAGAAATGTTGCTTCGACCTCCCTCCCACGAGCGTCCGTCCATCTGGCCGAGCGAAACGCGTGCCTTCTTTTTTCTCCGGTTGGATTGTCATCCGCATTCAAGGGAGAAGCGGTGAATGCTCGCGCCGCGGCCGGTGCACACCGAATGCCGAATGCCGATGGAAATTGCAACGAATAAACGAGTACATTTTTCAATTGGGTGGTGGTCTCTGTGAGTGGACGCATCCGGTCGGATATAAGTGCTGCTGGCTGATACTCGCGATCCGATTCTGAATGTTCGCGTCCCAAACTTTCGTACGATATATATTTCATTGGCGTTTTCGTTGCCTAGTTCAATGATGATTTATAATTGTTGCCAGCTCGACTATAATTATTATAATTACAGATTTTTCGTCGGGCTCTGCCAGTCGTGTCTCGAAGCCCAACCGGCCGCGGCCGCTTCTTTTTCGCTCCATCCCCTTTCGTACGGGCTCCACCCCTTCGATTCTTTGCCTTCTTTTCTCCTCCTTCCGTCCATCTCGTTTCTTCTTTTCTTTTTTTTTTTTTTTTTTTCTCCTTTGGCCCTTTTCTCTTCTCGCGAGTCGAGAAGAGACCAGATATACGTCTCTCGGTGTACCTTGGAAACGGGTTTCGAACATCCCGACTCGTGACGCGTCGAATTCACCCGTGTTTCCCTGGGAATTTGCTTCTCGATCGCCCTCTTTACGTTTTCCCGCAACGATTCGATCGGGATTTGAAAATTTCTTCGATCGGTTTGTTCGCTAGTTTCGATGGTTAGGATCAGAGAAACACCGAGACGCGGTCGTTCTCGTGCATCGAAAGTGGCGCGGAACGGTCAGTGGAAAGGATCGATTATACCGGTCGGAAGGATCGCGTTCGATGTTCGAGCGAATGGGTCGCGTTTCTAGACGTGGAAGATGCGGCGGCGGCGATGCATCGGCCGGTACACATCGTGTATCGCGGTACAAAGTGATGACCGTAATGACTCTAACCACCGTCTGACATCTGGCATTAGGCACTCGAGCTTTCGAGTGGCAACGCCCGCAGCAATTGTTGCCGTTTACGACTGCCGTGCACGCTCTCCTTCTCTCTTTTTCCCTCCGCATCACCCTCTCGCCTTGTCTTTTTCCATCCACTCGCGACTTCTCTTCTTCCTCTTTCCTCGCTTGCTCGTCTGGTCGTCTTTCTTCTCGTTTCTCCTCTTGCTCGCTCGTCCGCTCTCGATCCTACGCGCTATAGACCGCATTCCCGAGCGCAACGACGAGGCAGAGATATATGTATATGCATTCGCGTGCACCGGTCGTCGTAGCCACCGCGATCGCCGCCACGCCATGCCACGCCACGCCACACCGCTTCTATATACCTTTGAGCTCGTACGGCTATAAACACCGGCCGTTCGCTCTTCTTTCTTGCCTTTTCTTCTGCTCTAGAATTCTAGCTAGTCATAAGCCGTACACTCTTTTTTTCTCTCTCCGCTCGATTTTCCTCCCTTTAATTGTTGCTTCGTTTGTCTTCACGAATGAACAACACGCGATGCAGATTCGTTTCTTGGCTAGAATGCAATCGATTTTTCCTGCTCCTCGAGGAAACGACCGCGACGTTTTCTTTCTCGGTGTCATAAAACGATTGCGTAACCGCGGCTTCGTTCTTTATCTCCGTTTCTGGAATAATAGCCGACGAGAAAATGGTTTGCCTCTCACCGAATGGAAACGCGGTTAACCGCCTTGCGGTCCCTCCTATCCCGAACGTAATTACCGAGGTTAGAAAGTCGTCGTTATTAAGGCTCGGCTTCGGACGCTGTTCTGTAGGAAGATAGATATGAGATTTCAGGGAAAAGCTTAATGAAGCTAGTACTCGAACTCGCCGCCAGATGGATCGCGCGATGTTAATGTTCTCGCAAGTACTCGCTCGAGTTTCTATCCACAATCCATGCGTACGGAGTGTTGCATAACGCGTGGGATTCAATTTATCGACTGACGGCGTATGTACACAGACTTTGATGGGGCTGGGCTACTTTTAGCAGCCAGCACAATATGACCAGAAAAGAAAATTTTGGATAAAACTTAGCAAACTCTTAGATTTCGACGCACGGTTCAGAATTCTAGCGAAAAGAAAAAAAAATGGAATTATCTACTGGCAATTGCGTAATAACGGGAAATAGGATCGCTGAAGCGTAGTAAGAACGGCGGGGAATCGTAGTTTCCGCGCAGAAGCGCAAGCATGGAGAAGAGTAAACGTCGGTTATCAAGTTTCTCCTTGTCCCTGGATAATCGAAGGTCCTCACGGTCTGCCAGTGGGTGGTGAGCTACGAGACGATCGTCCTCGCGTTTCCGTCAACTTGCTGGATCCTTGCTGGAGCTAGCTTACGGTGTTTCGTGGCTTAACAAGAACGGCCACGAAGAGGAAGCCGCATACCAATGGATACGATGACTGACCCGCAACGCGAGTGTGCGTATATACGCCTTACACTTACACTTGTACCACCATTCCGTTCGTTTGTTCATCGATGCATTTGAGCTCGGGATTGCAAATTGCGTAACCGCAGAAAACAAAGACCTTCGATTATGGGGACGTGTACGCGCGCAACAATGTTTCTCACTTTATTTATTCAAGAGTGTCGTGGGCTGCGGGATTGGCTATTTCTTAGCTGTGAATGGAATCGTAATATCGTGAAAAATTGTTACGACACGCGAATCTTGATGTTAGCACCAGACGAAGATACGCAGGTTTCTTTAAGAAACTTGGAGTAAAACTTTCCCATGCAACTCTTTCTTTTATTTTACATAGTCTTTGAGATGAATGGAATAATTTAAAAACATTCAGTGTCTCGACTTGGAAACTCGTTCGTTAATGCTGGTAAAGAATTTTTGATTTACGAGATCGTCCGATGCAGACAACTTTCACACCGTCCTCTTTCATTCGCCTACGATTTTATTTATTTATTCGCATAGTATCAGCACCTTCGTAGTTACAATAGTCGAAAGCAATAGTAATAAAGTTCACAAGAAAGGTAGATATACAGATAAGGGAGTCATTGTGAGGTGTTGTTACGGTGAGTCATAAAC